CGAGCTGGTCTGGGAAGCTCAGTCCTCACCTCCTTCTACAGGTGTGCAGTGGAGAGCATCCTGTGCTCCAGCATCAACGTGTGGCATGGAGGCTGCACAGCTGCAGAAAGAAAAGCTTTGCAGAGAGTGGTGAAGGCTGCACAGAAGACTGTTGGAGTCAGTCTCCCAACCATCACAGGCATCTACACCTCTAGATGCAGGAAGAGAGCCACCTGCATCATGAAGGACCCCACTCACCCAGCACACACACTTTTTGCCCCACTCCCCTCAGGAAGGAGGTTGAGGAGCATTAAGTGTAGAACCACTAGACTGAGGAACAGCTTCTACCCTGAGGCTGTTAGACTCATGAATCTCTAACCAGAATAATCACTGTGAAAAATCCCATGTTGCTGCTGATCTGTTTCATGTTGCTGCTGATCTGTTTCATGTTGCTGTGTTCATGCGTGCACATCCGCTCACAGACTCATGTTCATGTTTGTGCTGCTGTTCGACGTAATGTTTTTATGCTATTAGTGCTTAGTGTATTTTTAGTTTATGTTTTTCTTAGTTCATATCTTAGATGTTATCAGTTTTTCTTTTACATTTTATTGTTGGATGTAACTGGGACCCTGTGTACATAATCTTGTTCCACCACAAGACGTGAATGACTAATAAATCTCTCTGACTCTGACTACTACACACACATTCATACACCGATGGGACACACATCAGAGGCATTGAGGGGTTCAATGTCTTGCCCAGACACACTTCAACATGTGACTGCTGGTGGAATTGAACCTCCAACTCTCCCATTGGAGGACGACTGCTCCAACCAGTTAGGCACAGGTGTCCCTTAGGTGTATAGTGACGGGCGCACCATAAAAACGTGCACGTGTTGGCACTACAGGTTCCCCGAGAGTCCAGGAGTCTCTTCTAAAGGTCTGTTAGTGAAGCCCCTGAAGTTTTCTTCAGACGTCAGTGTGTGTGTTACTATCAAATAATCCTTTTTATATGTCGGCTTTTAGAGGACGAGTTCTGTGGAGGCAGGAACAATAAATATCCTACCTGTCGTTTTTTCAATTAACTGAGAACTGTCTGAAGAAGAAAAAATGTTTTGGATGTGGGTCCATGCACAGATTTCCTGTTTGAAAACTATGCAGAGTTTTGTGCAAACGCTAACATTTAAAGCTTCAGTTGTTGTCACCTCTGCATCCTTCGGTTGTTTCAGCAGAAATATGGCAAGGTTCCTAATCCAGAACAATCCTGGACTGGAGCTGCTGCTGGTTCCCCAAACAAGCACTGGGTTCAATGTGTGTTATGAAGAGTCTCAGTCAAGAGTTTGAGTCATTTAGGAGTGAATCTGGTGCTTGAATGTTCTTAATTTACACACCAGCTCCAGAAGCTTCAGCTCCACATCAGTGGGAAAAACTGCAGCTCTAGTTTTTCCTCAAACAGTTTTTAGAACCAGCAACAAATAAAAACAAATCCAGCATGTGAGGGGGAACGTTTGGAGCCCCTTAAATCAACACTTGAAGCTCTAGAGCGGCTGCACGCTGCACCACCCTGCCAGAAACCTGAAGACCTGAAAGGTTTCACTGAAACCTTCTCTGCTTTTCTTCTGAGTTTCTGCTGAAAACATCAAAGCGATTGAAGCGAACCGCCGCTCAAAGCCGATTGCTTTGAATGATCCAGTGACGTCACGCCACGCGCTGTTTCAAAAGGCCGAGAAACTTTACAGAACTTTATGTTTAAACGGACCGTGCCGAACCGAACCGAGCTTACCTGTGTCTGCTGGCCGCTCTCTGACCCGTCGGAACGCTGGAGCCCAGAGCCGAACCGAGCCGGGCCAGCGCGAAGGCGAGCAGGTAAAACAAGACCTCCATCCTTCAGAACCAAACATTTAGGTTTAAAGGTTCCGGTTCTCCGTGTTTGAGCTTCAGCAGCGGGCTGTCAGTACGCTGAACAGAACCATGCTGGGTTTACAGCCCGGTCCGGTACCGTGGCTTCTACTGTGATGGCTCTGGAGAGTGAGGGGAGAGTTCCTCCTCCAGGAGCGCGCTCTCTATCTCTCTCCCTCCTCCCCCCGCCCCCCTCTGCCTCCCACGTTCAGTTCGGATACAACTGGACCAGACGGTTCTGGTTAAACATCTGAAGAACTTCATTATATTTCTTAGAACCGAACCTGGAACTAGAATGCTACAATAAAAAAAAAATAATAATAATTTTATTCACAATCAAGCTTTTCTTTTAACCCTGAGGAATATTTTATTGTTTGTTTGTTTATTTATTTATTATGTTCAGTCAGCAGCAGTCAGTCCTGCAGCTCGCTGTTACATCAGAGTCTGGAAAAGTTGTGTAGAGCTTAAAAATAATAATAATTTAAAAAAAAAGACATCATGTCTGACCAAAGAGACAGGAGACTGAAAGCATGTTCAGCTCCTGGAATCTGGGGGATCTTCACAAAACTCCAGACTAGATTTATTTATTTATTTTTTTAATTATCAAAGAAGAAGTCATTCTGTGTGTACTAAAAGTAGAAAATTATTATTATTTTAAATATGTTTATATCTTTATTCAAAAATAGCTGTCAAATTAATATTTTGCTTATTTTTTTACTAAGATGTGGCTGTTTTGAAAAGTAAACACATTTTAAAGAGTAAAAAAATTAGGCTGAGGTACAGGTAGCTCTAAAAAGTGAGTTCATTGTGGGAAAATAAAAAAGTATTTTAAGCTGTTACAGGTGGTCAATTATTTTCCCCCAAGGCTCATGAAGGACAGCTGAACCTTGTTCAAATAAGAAATATGACTTTCTTCTTCTTTCGGCTGCTCCCTTCTTCAGGGGTCTCCACAGTGAATTAACTCACACAAAGACTTGGTGACTGTTTTTACGCCAGATGTCCTGACACAACCACAGTCCACCGAGCTACCACAGTCGTCTGTGTGGAGCAGAGAGCTGCTGTCTAGGGCGCCCATGAGGAACAGATGGTGGGGGTTATGGGCCTTGCTCAAGGGCCCAGAATGGGGCAAATGAGGGTGGAGGCAGGGGTGGGTGCTTCACCTTTCCCACCCATATTTTGATGTTGTCGGTCTGGGGAGTTGAACCGGCGACCTTCCAATCACTGACCCACTTTCTCTAACCTCTGTGCCACCACTCCCCACCTGAGAACATATTTATGAAAAACAAGTTAAGTTTGAATAGATGGAAGCAAAGAAAGTAGGAAGAGAGGCAACAAAATGTTCTAATCAAAGATGGAACGGTTCTGTTTACCATGATCTGCTGAAACTTTGGAAATGTTCCCAGGTTGTGAAAATGTCACGTGCACAGGGTCACACTTTGTCCGCAGTCTCTGTTTGAATCAACTGCGGTTCTCATGCCCGACCACTAGCTGGCGCTGTCCAGCATGACAATGGTTATGTCCAAAATGATGACCACAAGAACATTTGGACTAGCGGTGTTTGTAGAGGTGAGAAGAGAGTCTCTGCTGACCCAAGAGATAGGGGAGCACGTTTGGTGTCAGGAGCTCGATAAATTGAGGAGAGAGCAGCACAAACAGCACTCTTCTACTGTTGATCAGAAAAACTTACCTCAACCGTCGTAGAGCGATTATGATTTCACACCAAAGAAGGGCGTCTCCAAAAAACAGCATAAACAGGGTCAAGACCTCGTAGAAGTAAAGATGGGCAGAGGTTCACCAGTCTGCTGAAATCTAACAAATAGTGGAACAATTTCAGAGTAATCAGAATAAGAATCAGAATCAGAAGAAGCTTTATTATCATTGCACTGAGATACAACGAGAACATATACGTACAGTCGTCAGAAAGATGGACGGAGTGCACAAAGCTGCTGCTAATTAGCGCAGCACTCTTATTCTTCAACAGAATAATATTTTTGCTTAGATGAGAAAAGGGAAGAAAACATGAGGAGAGAAGGTATTAAAAAAAGATCTCTCACACCTTGTCTGAGACAGGGCACAATTTGAGGCATCAAAAAAACTTACCACAGCATAGCACATTAATAGATGTTATACATGTACATATAGACCGGTGAAGACATTGACTTTTTAAGGGAAAGTCATAGCATAGTCCAGATAAGAGGTGTTATTTATCATCAGCTCAGTTGAGGTTCCGTTACATGTCCACGGCCTTGGGGAAGGGAAGGGTGAGGAGACAGAGAGAGCGTCTTTGTTTTTCCTAAACATGCCAGGAGGAGTTGAGATAAGTCCGCTGTCAAGGCCACAGTTTGGGTCAGGCAGAACTCGTGATTCTATTTCGTATAGGCTTCGCCCTTTAAGGCTGTCGCTGGTGGGTTTATCCCATCATGCAAAGCATCACACTGAAAAAATTTAGTCCACGCCCACCTGTTGTGTGGGCCCCACCCGGTCTGTATAAATTACGTTAAGAGCGGGTAATCAGCTCCATTTTTTCTTCAGCAAGCTAATAGCACTGTCAGAGAAACGAAGAAGGAAAGTTGTCCATCTTGACCAGCACAACCTTTGTTAAGGCTGCCTAGATCCCCGCCATGCCAACCTCCTGCCGTCCCAGTGAGTTCTTCCTCCCCGAGGAGAAGCAGACGAGCAGCCTTGTTTCAAGGTAAGCGCTGAGGAATATTTTTTCAGTGGCGGGTCGCTACCTGCTGGACAACGCCATCGACCCCTTTTTTCTTTTTAACGCTGACTCTCGGAGCGAATCGGATGGTTCCTCCGGGACAGGCGACATCAGCAGCAGCCCCCGCCGCTCACTCCCTCCTGGAGAGCGTAGTGTCGGAACGAGGGGGGCTGAGCGGATGCTCACCCCCCGGGCCTTTTCGTATCGGCAACCACACCGCTCCCAGCTGTCGGTGCCCTCCTCTTGGAGCTGCCCGGCATAATCCAGGAGGCGGCTGACATGAAGGGACTTTTTTCCGTCCCTCTCCTTCCCCCTCCCAGATCGGATGATCTAGCGGGAAGGTTTTTGGCTCCACTCCGGCTCATCGTCCTGATCCCATCTGGCCTCATTTCCCAGCAGTGGCGTCCTACTGGACCGAGGCTACAGCCGGACCTGGTAGACGCCGGTTTCCACATTCGCGCCCATCACCAGAGTGGAGGGGTATTACTGAGCGGAATTTCCCTCGGTGCCCCCCTAGAGCCAAGCCTGGCGGAGGCTCTCGGAGCAAGATGTCCAGGTTGGACCAGCTTCCTACGCCTCCGGGGAAGCATGACCAGACGGTGACGTCGCTCTCCAACCGAGCTCACCAGTATGTTTTCCAGGCGGCCGCAATGAAAATAACGTTGCGCCGCTGACGTACAGCATCTCAGAGGCTGAAGGGAACAGACCTCCCTCAGGAGACTAAGAGCTCCCTCTGCAAGGCGTCTGACATCACCCTCAACCTGTGTGCCTCGTCTGCTGTCTGCCTGTCTCGCATCGCAGCCTGGATGACAATGGTTCAGAGGTTCACCTGGCTTCCTCACTCCCCCTCCCTGTCAGAAAAGCTGCAGATGGATTCGCTAGAGGGCCCCATCACGACGGACCCGCTGTTCAGATCCAATTTCAAGGCCATGCTCGAGAAATCGAAGAAGTCGGAGGAGGTGTCGGAGACTGTGCGCCATCTGATCAAGCCGCACCCCTCCTTTCGCCCCTCCGCCCGCTGGAGAGAGTGCCATGGCTAGAGACAGCAGAGACATGCCACAGCTGCAGCAGCATCTTCTCGTTCCACTCCGCCGCCAGCCCTCCCGTCAGAGTACAGCCCTCCTCATCCCGACAACCAGCGGTGCTGCGTTTCCCCAGAGAAGATTCAAAATGATTCATTGCGGAGGATGTGTGTGTGCATAATGATTGTTTGAGTTTTGGAATAAAACGTAAACATCATTCAGGAATTAAAGTGTCTAATTTCAGCCTGACTGTCAGTTTGTATGATCTCACAGCGGCTTCTCCTAACACATCCTCCACACAAAGCGAGACGGTGTCCTCCAAACAGGTTTTTAATCACCGCAGCCTGAGAAAACACACAAAATGCACGCGTGAGTGACACAGCAGCCAAAGTGAATGTTTTCAGCAGACCAAGTCCAGTGGGAAAACTCGCTCTCAGCCCAAGCTGTGCGCTGCCTCCTCTGACCGCAGTGTGACAAATGCACCCCTCCCCCGCGGCAGCGGCAGCCCTCACCTACACGGCTCCGCATGCCCAGGGGCACGCATGGCTCCCCTCAGCGCACGCCAGCTCACATCAGCACGTATGTGAGCCCGCAGCCTGAGCACAGCACAGAAGCGCCACGCCCCCGCGGCAGTGGCAGCCCTTACCTACACGGCTCCGCATGCCCAGGGGCGTGTGCGCCTCCCCTCAGTGCACGCCAGTTCACATCAGCATGGATGTGAGCCTGCAGCCTGAGTGCGGCACACATGACGGCGGTGACTGGCGTCTGTAAAAACATGACGCAGCATAAATGCGTGCCGGCTTCCCGAACGTTATGCGGAGTGGCCGTGAGCGTGCGCTCTAGACAGATGGATGAACCGTCTTATCAGTAGGGGATACATGCTGCAGTTTGCAGCTCAAACCCCCCGTTTGGAGGAACTTTAGAGACGTTTCTGTCATTTCCAGAACAGATCTCGTTCCTCCACACAGAAGTTCAGGAAATTCAGGAAAAAAAATGTAATTTCCAGGGTTCCAGAAGGAGAGGAAAACACAGGGTTCTACTCTCGTCACTTCCTGGTCCCAAAACGGACCGGAGAGATGAGACCCATCTTAGATTTGTCAATTTTCAACTGTGAGACAACATTCCATTCCAAATGCGTCGAGTCGGCTCTGCAGCCGCTACACAGAGCAGGGATGAGAATTCTGTTTTATCTGGACGATCTGTTGTTGCTGACCCGTTTTCCAGACAGGTGGCAGCAGTGCAACTCAGGCGCTGACGTCACACCTGCAAAATCTGGGCTTCACCATAATGGGGGGAAGAGCTCAGTTCACCCGGTCCAGATGATCGGTT